TTTGTTGTTGTTGGTGAGGTGTTTTTTTTTTTAACTTTATTTTTGAGGAGGCTGTTTTTTTGCTTAGCAATATAAGATCCTTGTGGGGGCTGGGGATATAGCTCTGTTGGTAAAGTGCTTGCCTTATATGCATAAGGCCCTGGGTTCAGTCCCCAGCACCACTCAAAAAAAAAAAAAAAAAAAAAAAGGAAGATGCTTATGGCTGGTAGAAAATATGGAAGGTATCAGATAACTGTTGAGTAACTTTTGTGATTAAAAGCACACCATATTGTGCATGGTTACACATGCATGCCTGTAATCCCAGTGGCTCCCAGTGGCTTTGGAGGCCTGAGGCAGGAGGATCAAGAGTTCAAAGCCAGCCTCTGCAACAGCTTGGTGCTAAACAACTCAGTGAGACCCTGTCTCTATATGAAATACCAAATAGGTCTAGGAATGTGGCTCAGTGGTCGAGTGCCCCTGAGTTCAATCCCTGGTATCCCCCCACCCTCCCCACCCCCCCAAAATAAACATGCCATTATCAGATAATAAATGACATAAAAAATAAAAATCATGACACAGTCAAGTGTTACATTGTCGTGGCTAGAGTCAACTGATTGGATTGGGATAGCATTACCAGACCCTGCAAATGTCGGCACCACTGATATCCAAAAGAGAAATGTCAAAGATCTGATGTAGGCAATCTGTCAGTAGTATATAAAATGACTCATTTTCTGGGATTCACAAGTCTGAGATTAGATGATAGTTCCAGTATCAGGAATATAGTCTTTTATACTGTTTTCTACTCTATGATGATGTGTCATTGCTTTGGTATGGTGATGAATTGGCAGCAATCAGTGGTGGCATTCTGGACATGCAGACTTAAATCTGGTAGCTTTTTACCAGTTGGTGTTATGAGTCAGTGGTCCTTTACTGTGAGTATTATACTAGTGACCCTTATGGTTCAATCTACAACTAAATTGATCTTCATAGTTTATGGATAATCTTTATCATGTCATTCTATAGTTTTCCAAGTAGCAGACCAAATAGCTTGTCCATTGGTAACAGTCAAGGGGTCAGTAAGAATAAAACAATATTTTCAAAGGAAATATTGGCCAGAAAAGAGAACATCTTTGAGTTTTACCTGCCAAACCAAGCAGCCTCACACATTTTGAGTTCTGCTGGTTGGCACCAATGTTGAACAACACAGAAGCCCACTGGGCACATAGGGTTTCAACATAGTTGAATCATCAGTGACCTTGGCCCAGGCATTTAAAGGAACCTCTGAATCAAAGCCTAATTGAACCAGCAGCTTTGTTTTATGTGGCAGCATAGAATAAATTTCCCAGAAGGGGTACCAGTTACTTTTTCATGTAGAGCTGAGATACTGTAGGGTTAGGTTGATTGCATTCTTGAATATGCTATTTCCATGTAATGAGACTAGCTCCCTGGGCCTTTCTCATCTTGTTGGTCATTGGGTTTGAGTTTACCTACTCCAAATGGTAATCTTTTTGTTAACTGGCAGGGGTCCTGGGAATCTGGGGTTTTCGTCGTGTTTCTTGGCTCTTAGTTTCTTGTAGGAGAAAATTTCAGACAAGACATGAAACATAGTAAAAGCAAGGGGAAAGGAAAAGATGCTCCCAAGGGAGAGGGTGGATCCTCTGGCAGTAGAGCTATATTGTGCCTCTTTGTTCTCTAGTTCTGTTGGGATCTTAGCACAGTTTCAAGAGTCCTACCCAGATATCATCTCTTAATTCTTGACTGACTTTAGGATTGCATCAGATTTTTTTAAAAAAAATTTGTTGTTTTTATACCTTTATTTATTTATATGTAGTGCTGAGAATTGAACCCAGTGCCTCACACATATTAGGCTCTACTACTGAGCCCGAGCCCCAGCCCCAGCCCCAGCCCCTGCATCAGAATTTTTAAATCCCTACTGCATACTGTTTTATCCAAGGTACCCAAGTGAACCCTATGATAGGCTACAGATCTAAGGCACTCTCATTCACCTTGGTCGACTTGGACTGGTTCTAATTGGAACTTGTTATTTTTACAGATGTTATTTTTAATGGACTTCATTTTTAATTGTCCTGTTTTTTTTTTTTTAAAGTATGTATAAAGATCACAAAATTCCCCCTTCAGGGTGATTTGTGTTCTTGTTGGCAGTGGGCTGGGAGGGGTCTTAAAGTCCTCAGCCCATAGACTAGCCTTAAGGAAAATAAACATTATATGCCTTACTCTTTTGTCTTCCAAGCATGTTAGCCAAATATTTGACTGGTTCTGTTCACAGAAGCTGCAAATTTTCCTCCTTTACACACTCAGTGCAGATATTCATCTCTAATGGTTGTCTGAAAAGGACAGAACCTTATGCGTTCCCCCCTCACCAGACAGATATTAGTTCTTGTTCATGGGACAGACCTCCTGAGGCTGACTGTCAGCCTGGTGAGAGGAAGCTCTTCCATCTGGAGGAGAGTTGGCAATAACCAGGACATTTTAGGCCTTATCTTTGAATCTACCTACTTTTGATAGTCAGCCTGAAATATCTCTTCAGTTCAGCTTCATTAACAGCAAAGTAAAGGACCATTCACTTCCATTCTCATGGACTTTTCTCAGTTCATGTTAATTGGCCTTACTCCTATTGCTAGAAAAACTTTTTTAATATTCCATATTCATTGCCAGAACAGTTAAAAATTGTGAAAAGTCTATGAGATTTTATCCTTGTAAGCTAATAGCTTCCACAGTTGCATGGATTCTGCTGGAAGACATAGGACTCCTGAATCAGAGACAAAGGACATCAATACTCACGGCAATTGCAGTAGCCAAAGAGTCAGCATTGTGGAGCCCCAGTTTCTACAGGATATGTCAAAGAGAGACAGGTGATGCTTGCACACAAAGTTGGATGCACTATAGGAAAAGGACTTCCAGTGTAAGGGGCCACGCTGTGTGTGTGTGCCCTTGTGCTGGGGTTGACCCTAGGGCCTTGAGCATGCTAGGCAGGTGCTCTACTACTGAGCCACATTCCTAGCCCAAGGGGCCACTCTGACTGTTGCCTTGAATGCCTATATTATCTTTATTTTATTGGACAGTAAACAAACTTGCCTTTTGCTTTCTAAGGAGACACTGTGTGTTATATGTTCTATGTGTAATCAACCAGAACAGAGGGAGGTAGTACATCTTCTTACAGTGTATGGAATTGTTTTGGAGTTGGGCTAGCATTTTTTCAAAAAAATATTTATTTATTTATTTTAGTTTTCGGCAGACACAACATCTTTGTTTGTATGTGGTGTTGAGGATCGAACCCGGGCCGCATGCATGCCAGGCAAGCGTGCTACTGCTTGAGCCACATCCCCAGCCCCATAGCATTTTTGATTACAGGTTCTTTCCCAACCAATTTAAAAATTCTGGTAAAATAAGATAGAATCTTTTTTTCTTTGTTCTTTTTTGGTACCGGGGATTGAACTGAGAAGCACTTGACCACTGAGCTGCATTCTCGAGCCCTATTTTGTATTTTTTATTTAGAAACAGGATCTCACCGAGTTGCTTAGTGCCAAGCTGTTGCTGAGGCTAGCTTTGAAGTCGGGATCCTCCTGCCTCAGCCTTCCAAGCTGCTAGGATTACAGGCATGTGTTAGGGTACCTGGCTAGGAAATAGAATCATAATGGATCTGTTATAGGCATAATATTAAGCTTTCTTTCTCCTGACAGTATCTCTTCTTTCCTCTTTTCCTGCTTTAATTCAGTTCAGAATCCTAGCCTTTTCTCATCTAATCAACTATAGTTACCTCCTAACTTGTCTTTAGTCAACTATAGTTGCCTCCCAACTGGTCTTACTGTCTTATTCTTTCTATCCTCAACATTTGTGTCAGAGGGATCTTTTTTTTAATGTTTATTTTTTAGTTGTAGTTGGACACAATATCTTTATTTTATTTATTTATTTTTTATGTGGTGCTAAGGATTGAACCCAGGGCCTCGCACGTGCTAGGTGAGCGTTACACCGGTGAGCCACAACCTCAGCCCCAGAGGGATCTTTTAAAATGCAGATATGATCATGTTAATTTAAATTTGTCATCAGTACCCCATTATTGTTAGGACAGTGTTTAAATTGTTAAGCAGTTTGCATGATTATTTTTTTGAATCAGTCTGTTATCCAGTTTTTAAATGTGCACAACTAAATAAAAATACATAAAATAACTAAATAAAAATACGTAAAATTTTATTATTGTTGTTGTTATTATTACAGTATGGTACAGGGGATGGAACCCAGGCCCTTGCATGTACTAGGCAAGTATTCTACCATTTAGCTATGTTTCCAGACCCCCCCAAAATATTTTTTTAATGAGCTACATTTCCAGCTCCCCCAAAATATATATTTTTTAAAATCTTATAGGCCATTAGTAGGTAGTTTGTACTAAGTAGGTAGAAGGCTTTGTGTTAGTAGTTTATAACCTTTGCCTTTTATTTTTTCCTCTCATGTTTTTGTCTGCTGTGTTCAGTCCTTCTGCCTTTTAATAATTTCCATGTTTGCCCCTTACTCCTGGAATTCCTATATTTAAAATATATTTCTCATGTAAAGACTAAGTGAATTATTTTCACCCTAGTTAAGTATCTTGCTCTGAACACTTTTCTATAATTTCTAGTAATCTGTGCATATGTCACTATAGTGCTTAACTTCATAGTGTTATAATTAGTGATTTCTTTTTCTGGTCTGCATTCCTGCTATATAAAGTGGTAAAGTGTAAGATACTCAGTGCAGAACTCCTTAACACATTGCTTTTCTGACAAGTTGTTTTAGTGTCAAATTCATTAAATTGGTGTTTTAATCACTGTAAGTATACCTTGCTTTGAGACTTGAGGAAATTTATTTGCTTAATTTTGAAGATAAAGATAGTAAAGATAGAAAATAGACATGTGGTACAGTCAGTCCCGTGGTTCGACCTATATGTGGCCCAATATAGATGGACTTTCATGTATGTTATTTACTATGCCAAATAACACTTTCTTGCTTTGTTCAAATTTAAAATACAGACTGTGGATATTCATAAAGAGAAAGTGGCTCGAAGAGAGATCGGTATTTTGACCACAAATAAGAATACATCAAGAACTCACAAAATAATAGCACCTGCAAATATGGAGCGCCCTGTAAGATATATTCGAAAACCTATTGACTACACAGTTCTCGATGATGTTGGCCATGGTGTGAAGGTAAGCATTTTAAAGTACATAATTGTAATTAATTTTGGATAGGATATATGGTGATAATTTTCTTATTTGATAGATTCTCTTTAGTAACTAGCATTATAATTTTATATGTATTTAATATTAATTGTGTATTTTACTAAGCTTGGAACAGAATTTTACCTTTGGAAGAGGCTATATTCAGAAAGATATGAAAACTTGAAAAAGCTGTTCATTAAGTAAATCATTTGAATCCTAGACTACTGTTATAAATTTGTATTGTAAATGCTTTTACTACTGAATAATATTGAAAAATAAAAAATTAAGTGCTTTCCAAAATTGGTTTAGAAAACAAATTATACATAATTTTGTCCTTTTATTCCTAAATATGTATGCATATTTGTGCATGTGTATATGTTGATATAGTTCTAGCAATTTATAAAAAATTGAAAAATTTATGAAATTTTCTTCATTGTATTCTGTTACCCCTTTCCCTCCCTGAAAAAAAAAAAAAACAACATAGCAGACTTTTAGGAGAGAGAGATTATTTGTTGCTCATGTTCATTGATAAGCATGGCAGAATTAGCTGATCTTGAAGGATACCTATAGTTTGTCAGTTTTGGATATTCATGTGTCATTTTGCAAGCATCTGGAATGACTCAAATTCTTTAGCCATCTCTGCTTAAGATAAATTATTTCTCTGAAATATGATAGTCCCTTTGTTTGAGGACCATTATTTGATTTTGTTTCTGGTCTTCAGAATATTTTATAATAATTTTTAATGAGTGAGCTAGAATCTTGGAACTTTTTCTACCTTGTTGTCCTGGCTATTGCTAGATCTGTTGCATTCCTCAATTTTCTGGGGTTCCTGATCCAGAAAAAACTATAGCCAACAGCATTGATCATATTTTACTCTTATCTAAGACTTTTGAAATCTTCTCTTCATTTTCATTAGTGGGAATTATATATAAAGTTGGAATACTTCCACATGTAGAGGAGACTGCTTGTTCCTTGTACTTTTTTCCAGATATGTGTCTGTGGTTGTAAAAGAGGTAAAATTGCATTTTGAGAGTCTTGGAAAACCTTATTTTGTATTATTACCCATCTTGGGATTAAAATAGACACACACATACCCTATACATAGTTATATGTTTACCTGTATACACACATACACATATTCACTCACTCTGCTTTCTTTTGTCTCATTTTGATTTTTCTTCCTACTAAAACTAAAAAAATTCTGTCTCATTAGAAGTGAATATCCTCCTTTATCTCATCCTTCCACTAATTGTGTGTTTAAAATGCATTACTTAGCAGAATATAAGGTGAGTCTTAATTTTAAAACAAAGTTTTGGGTGAGAAAACTTAACTATGGCATTAGGTGTGCAGGTAGTCAGTGTAAATAGCATAATATGCTGAAATGGCATGGATGTGAATTTTGGCAGAATGTTTTCTAGCTATAAGATGTTTTGGGGGATTTGTTTTACAGTTTATTGTGGTATAAGATATATGTAACACAAAATTTAGCATTAACTATTTTCAAGTGTATAAATCTGTGACATTGAGTACAGTACTTTGTTGGACTATCTACATTTAATATACTTTTGGATACCGGTGGGAGTATGTGAAAATCCTATACCTTAAAAGCTGTTATATTGCGTATTTGCCCATATTTGTTTTTGTGGTATATACACACACACACACTCACACACACACACACACACAATTATTTCCCCTTTTAGACTCATTACTGTTTTATTTTCTTAGTTTTGTGATTTCTGTAAAAGATCATTTTTCTCTTAAAAATTTCTACAGGACTATAGAGGTATATGAAATTAAGAAATTTGGAGAATAGTTAATAAACAAATACAAGGGCCAAAATTATGAGAAGGAGAATTTGAAGCTATCATAAAATTAGTATTTTAAGTATAAGGAAATACTATGAGCTCTAAAACTATTTTATTATTCTTTGCCTATTTTTCTCTTTTAGCAATTTGATTTTGTATTGACTTGTAAAAGTCCTTTTTCTGTTATGGAAATTTGTCCCTCATAAATTGTCAAATATTATTTCTTCATATTGCTGTTTGGCTTTTAACTTTGATGTTTTGGCATTTTTCAAAATATATACAGAATTTAAAAAAATGAATCTAAGTAGATTAATAATCCTATACCAGGTTTTATGCTTGATACTTCCACACTTCAAAATTAATGTTGTATCATATTTTGCTATTTTTTGTTATAAATTTAAGTGTTTGGTATTTGTATTTCATACACTTGGGCTTCATTTAAATAGTGTTTATTTAGTTAATGCATTTTATGTGGCAAAATAGATGGTATACATAAACTTAATAGGAATTTAAAACAAACATATCCTAAGGTAAATCTGGCTTGATTTTGTTTGGAAACCATGTAAGATATGGATAAGAGAATCCCAGTATAGTGAAACTACCAGAATATGTGCATAAAGGGAATGAAAGATGATGAACTATAAGTGAGCACAAAGTTTAGAGTAATAGAGAGGCAAAGGCTGGGACACCTAGCAGAGAAGTTTATGTTATTATTGATAAACAAAATAACAAATTTATGGTCTAGTTCATAGTTTACAAGGACTTTCCATGTACATTAGTATTCCTGTGCTTGCTTGCTTATTTATTTATTTATTGGTTCTAATCACTTGTACACGACGTTAGAAAATTCTTCAATTCATTGTACACAAATGGAGCAAAATTTTTGATTTCTCTGATTGTGCATAAAATAGAGTTACACCCTGTGCTTATTTTTATGCTTCAAAAAGACAATGTGATATAGTAGTTGTTGGATTTTATTGGTGGCATTAAAAGATAAACATTAAAATTTGGTAGCTCCAGACCACAGGGGATGTGAGGAGAAATTCACAGAAGTAAGACAACGAAAATGTTTTGTTAGTTAGAGGTTATTTGGCAATTTCGGATTGGTAAAATCTCTAGAGATTAGTTGTCAATTTTCTGATTATTTTGAATTGGTTTTGGTTTGCTTTGTTGGAACCTAGAACAACAGTTTTTTTTTTTAAGCATAATGGCCTCCCAGTTCATTTAACAGTGTAATTGCCAAAGCTTTATAATATTTCCATAGGGATATTATTTTTAAAAATGAGTTTAGCTAATTAATCATTTCAAAAAAAGAATTGGCCTTACATACCCTTAATAACTGTCATATGTAAATCTCTGATCTATTTAGGGATAGAAAAAGGAACCAGAGAGTTTTTAACCTGTGATTCCAGGGAAATGGTAAAATTACTTATTCATAAATGTAACTGTTGGGCTGGGGTTGTGGCTCAGTGGTAGAGTACTCGCCCAGCGTGTGTGAGGCCCTGGGTTTGATCCTCAGCACCACATAAAAATAAATAAATAAAATAAAGGTATATAAAAATGTAACTGTTAAGAAAATGAAATAGAAATCTTAGGGAAATAAGAAAGGTCTTAATTTGGATATGTTTTGGTTATATTTAAGTAGATATTTAACTTACATTATTTCAGGTTATTCACAATTAAAATATTTTGAATTAGAAGATGTGAGGCTGTAGGAAATAATCTATCTACTTATAAACACACTTAATAGAGGAGGCTGAGCTTCATAAAATGTTAAAGATTACACCATTGCATAGAAGCAGAGTTCAATTAGATTTTTCATTCCCAATCCAGTTCTCTTTTTTTTCTTTCCTTTGTGACAAGCTTACCCTTGAATGTTAATGTTTTTGGTTTCCCGTTTAATTGAAACAAATGAGAAGAGATGTGTGATCATATTTAGAATATTTTTGGTTAAATATAATAATTACTGTATTGTATTGCATATGCATTATAAGAGATATATATATATATATCTGGGTATCTTATCAAGATCTTAATAGTAGTCACATTTATTTTCCTAAATCCGGGTGTGAAATGAAATGGTTAGGTAGGGTTCCAGACATTGTTTTTCAATCATTGTGAGCCCTATTATTTTATGCAAACATTGAAGAATACCAAATTTCTGGCACAGTTTCTATAAATGAGAACATATCTAAGAGAAAGTAAACTTCTATTGGATGATTTCCTTAGAGTCACCTGAAAAGTGGTAGATGTTAAGGACAAAAACTTGAAACCCAAAAAAGTCTATAAAAAGTAAGATTCTAGAAACTGAAGTTTTTTTTTTTTTTTTCCTTAATGGCATAGTATAAGTAGTAATGTTTTAGAGCTATACACATTGTTTGATACATGTAAGCTAGTTATCTTTCAAAGAAATAGTCCTTACAATTAAAGCAAACTTTTTTTGCATTTTGAATTCTGGTTAAACTGGTTCAGAAGAAAACTCAGGACTAAGGGCAACATAATAACTTTCTGTTAGTGTTGGCTTGCTCAGGATTTGACTTTATAAGCTAGAAATGAGAGGGTTTTCTAGACCCTGTTTGCTTTACTGAATTAGGTCCATTACTGAATTTGGAAGCAACCCGTGGTTTTGAATTGTAACATTTACTGTCTAGCACCTTTTTAAAAAAAATTGCTTTGATTAGTGCATCATACGTACACATAACAGTCTAGCACTTTTTATAATATTCTACCATTGAAGTAATGCTTACACATGAACACTCACTATCCAATGGTCTTAAGACTTATAGAATGATGTATTAAAATAAGTTTGCATCTAATGTATTATTGTGATTAAACTTCATCCTTGAACTAATCAGTTGAATTAGTTCCATAGCATAAAATTTTGATCTAAGAAATTATTGAGCTCATATGAGCTTGACATAATTAAGTTGTGGTTTCCTTATAGATTTCTTTCTTTTGAAAATTATATGAAATGCATAAGTATTTTCCTAGTAATTATAGATAACTTTTTTAAACAAAATATTTGAAATGTGGCTGGATATAAGCTTATTAACAAAAATTGAATAACTATAAATGTAAACCTGTCCTATCAAATATAACATCTAGAATTAATTTCTACTTTTTCCCCCCTTTTTATGCCAACGTATAGTGGCTAAAAGCCAAGGTAAGAGACATTACTTATCTCTTGATCCACAGTATTTCCTCTATATTGATAGAGACCGCAGAGCCACTAAAATTTGAAAACTCTTCTTATGTCTGTCTGCTTTTCCCTATAGGATTTATGTAGATTAAATATACTCAAACTCAGTTCAAATCAGCAACACTTAGCTTGGCTGTGTTAATATATCAAAGATATGTTGACATTTGCATTTACATAGGAACATTAATTTTGCTAACATTTATTGCTTTGCTCATTTTTTTGATAGCTGCCTTGCTTTCATTGACTTACAATTAGGAGGTTTCCCAGACATCATATGTGACTTTGTTACTGAATTATTAGATAATTTTTCAGATGGGTATCTTAACAAATTGACAGTGAGTTCATGTTTATGCATACATTTCAGAAATTCAAAGCAACTAAGTATTTGAGTGCAGATAAGTTTGATTTCCACAAACATGTTTAACAATAAAATAATATGTAAAATTCAGTAATCATACCTGTATTTTGACATAAATTGATGTGAATGGCATAAAATAATAGGAAAGACTAAGTGCAGGTAGTTCCTGAGTTATTTTAAAATGTACCAAAGTCTTTATTAAATCTGTCTGGGAATCCTTACTTCACATTCTGATATTAAAAAAAAATAATACATGGTGTTAAAACATCAAGAGAACAATTTGATATAAAAATAAATGCCTTTCTTTCCACATTTTAGCATGGAAATAACCAGCCTGCAAGAACTGGCACACTGTCTAGAACAAATCCTCCTACTCAGAAACCACCAAGTCCTCCCATGTCAGGCCGGGGAACATTGGGGTAAGAATTCAACTGCATTTTACAAAAGAATTTCTGTGTTAGAAGATGTTTCTTAAATGTATGGATCTTTGTCTTGGGACACACTGTATGTGACACTATCTTTTATAAATTGCTTTTGATTTTTATTTCCCTGAATAGAATCCAAAATGAATCTTCCTGCTTAATAATATTCCTTGTCTGTACTAGAAAACTTCTTTTGTGAATGTATAAATTTATTTCTTGTTTTTTATTTTTTTAAATTAAATATAAATCTAACTTTAGTTTATTTCAGATAGTGAATTTTGCATATAAATGGTTGTCTTTGCTTATATGTATAGTATTTATTTAACAGAACTAATAAGTGGTCTACGTTATGTAGTTTTACTTAGTAGTCTATAGCTCCTTCCCTTATTACATGGCACCTGAGACTTAGGTACTTTTTACTTGGAGTACTTCTATGTGTGCATTGGCTGGTAATCTTAAGCCCCTTTATACTAGAGTAGCTTTATGGGAAGTCCCATTGGAGAAATAGAAAAGGTAAGGATGGTTTCTTTCTTCCCAGTTCTCAAGGCACTAAATATACAGAATACTTATCAAGACAGTTTTATTTTTTAAATGACTAAGCCACCCACCGCCCTGTGCACTTTTTTTTTCTTTAAAACTTTTAATTGATTTTTTAAAAATAAATGACAGTGGAATGGCTATGCACCTTTTTAAAATAGTCTTGCTAAGTTGCTTAGTGCCTCACTAAGTTGCTAAGGCTGGCCTCAAACTTATGATGCACCTGCCTCCTCAGTTGCTGGGATTATAGGTGTGTGCCACCACATCTGGCTTTCTAAGACATTTCTGAAAAATTATTGATCTTAATACAGGTGATATTATATTAGATTTTTTGTTTTTGGTAGAGAAGTTGACCAAGAATTGGAGCTTAATTTCTATTTTCATTCTTTACTTGGAGCTTAATTTCTATTTTCATTCTTTAAACTCTTTGTCCCTTAAAAAAAATGAAGTTATTACAAAAGTAAAGATCATTTATTTAGATATCAGTAACTGCAGTTAGAATCAAAATGTACTTCTCCATATACTTCTCATGCTGAGGTTTGGAAACATTACAAAGGAGATATTTTAGCTTCCTATGTAAAGGACAGGACTTGTGGATGACTGAAGTGGGAAAAAAGTACATTTCAAAGTTTTATATTATTGAGCATAAAAATTATAACCATTATTTTTAGAAATAAAAAACTTTAAATTACCCTTTCCTTTAGTTTTCCTACGTTAAAGTAGCAAATTTTAGTTTTTTTGTAATAGTAACAAAAATTCATATGCCCCAGCTAAGAATTATTTTTTATAAGCTTTATTAATTTTTTTAAAAAAAATCTGTTATACTTATTCACAAAGGGACAGTCACAGATTTGTTAGAGGGAATACTGTTTTATCTCTCTTATTCATTTATTTCTTTTCTTTGTTTTCTTCTTCTTTAGACGAAATACTCCTTATAAAACCCTGGAACCTGTTAAACCCCCAACAGTTCCTAATGATTATATGACCAGTCCTGCAAGACTTGGAAGTCAGCATAGTCCAGGCAGGACAGCTTCTTTAAATCAGAGACCAAGGACACACAGGTAAACCTTCAGGTTCAGCATTTGAACATTTGAGAGTTATTGATAGTGTAAAAGGTGGTAAGGTGAAGTACTACTCTAATGTTAATGTTGAATGTGAAAGTTAAGGGTGATAATAATATATATGCTTCTACAAATTGGTGTTACAATTCCTGAATTTTAGATTTTTAATTTTTTTGTGGTACTGGGGATTGAACCTGATGCTTTGCTTATGCTAGGCAAGTACTCTACCACTGAGTTACTCACCTAGGGTGTTTTTCTTTTTTCAGTATATGTTTTTACTATTAACAAATTGTTAGTATTTCTCCCTTTTGACAAAGATACAGTTGCATATTTGAATTAAAGCTAAAGAATGTTTTTTAAAATGGTCTTTCAAAAAAGCATGAGGGAAGGGGCTGGGGTTTTGGCTCAGTGGTGGAGTGTTTGCCTAGCTTGAGTGAGGCACTGGGTTCGATCCTCAGCACTATATAAAAACAAATGAATAAAATAAAGGTATTGTGTTTACTTATAACTTAAAAACAAAACAAAACAAAACAAATTAAAAAATAACAAAACCCAAGGAAGTTACCGAATGGGAGAAAATCTTTGCTACCGGCAGCTCACATAGAGCATTAGTATCTAGGATATACAAAGAACTCAAAAACGTAACAAACAAACAAACAAAACTCAGTCAGTAAATGGTAAAGGAACCAAAGAGGTACTTCACAGAAGAAGAAATAGAAATGGCCAACAAATATATGAAAAAATGTTCAACATCGCTAGCAGTTGGATAAATGCAAATTAAAACTACACCAAGATTCCATCTCACTTCAGTCAGAATGGCAATTATCAAGAATACAAGTAACAATAAATTTTGGTAAGGTACTTGGGAAGGTGAGGTAGGAGGCTTGCTTAACACCAGGAGTTCAGGGCTGTTCTAGGCAATCTAGTGGGACTGTGTCTCAAAAATAAGCAAATAAAATCCAGAGCCAAAGGCTACATGTGTACATAAACATGTTTTCACACATGTATGTCTCACAGCTAAAAGGACAGTATATCCTTAGTAAGTAGAATACTAGGAGATTGATTAGAGTTTACCAACAACAGTTATTCCAGAATATTTATGCTGAACTTTACTATTTTTTTTCTGTTCATATTATGCTTACTTTCTAATTAAAATTTCTGTTTTATCAGCTTTCTTTCTTTCTTTTTTTTTTTTTTTTTTAAATTAAGGTCAAGTTACCAATTGTTTCTCTAATACCATCTTTTTGAGTCTAGACTAGTAGAGAAGAAGATAGTGGTTTAAAAAGTGAACACAGTGCAGTGGTGCACACCTGTAATCCCAGTGGCTTGGGAGGCCGAGGCAGGAAGATTGCGAGTTCAAAGCCAGCCTCAGAGAGACCCTGTCTCAAAATAAAAAAGAAAAAGGGCTAGAGAAATGGTTCAGTGGTCAGTCTCCTCGTTTCAATTCATGGTACCAAAAAAAAAAAAAAGTGAACACAAAATTGTATCTTAGATATTCTTTTAGACTTTTCCTGCTATAGAAGCAACTAATTCTTTAGGAGATGAATAGAGTTTTTAATATAAATTTCAGACCATGATTAATTACTCTTATTTGTTTGCTAGTATCTTATACATTCTCTTTGTTAGTGGCCATAATTATTATTATTATTTTTTTCCTTCCCCAGTGCTAGGGATCTGAATCCAAGGCCTCATGCATGTTAGGAAAATGCCCTACCACTAAGCCACATTCCTAACCCTATATTACACTGTTTAAAAAATATGTTTCTTTATGCTTCACTGTGAATTCCATGATAGTGTGGTTCTTTTCTGCATTGCTAACTGCACGTTTTAAATACACTTGTCAACTCCCTGTACTGTGAGATTTTTATTGACCATACCTTTCTTTACAGAAAAGGTTCCAGGTAGTGTGTTACTATATTGGTTTCAGATGTTGAGAACTAGAGTGAAACAAAAGAGCCACTCACTTCAAGTGTAAGAGTGAAGTTTTGTAATAAACAGTTTTAAAGTTTACACACACAGTCATAAAAGGGGCTTTTAGTGGGTTGATGATTACTTTTTTTTTTTAAATGTCTCTCACTCACTATGTTGCCCATGCTGGATTTGAATTCCTATTCTCAAGGTGATACTCCTGCTTTGGCCTTCTGAGTAGCTGGTACTGTAGGCATGCACAGCCACTGCTGGTTAACCTTTTGTTGTTGGGTTTTGGCGGGGGGGGGGGGGGGCAGGGGGGGGGTTCTTGTTTTTAATCTGTGGAATTGCTTCTTTCATGCTTTTTTCTCTTGTTTGCAGTGGAAGTAGTGGAGGAAGTGGAAGTCGAGAAAATAGTGGAAGCAGTAGTATTGGCATTCCCATTGCTGTGCCTACACCTTCACCACCCACTATTGGACCAGGTGTGTCATTTATTACTCTAATATGTGGTAATATTTCTGAATTTTATTATGAAAGGTTAAAATAAATTAGTCATATTAGAGAGAATTATTTATTACATTCGTGATTATGGAATAACAAATTTAACAATATTTTAGATTCATTTTCTTGTCCTTTTTTTTTTCTTTTTGAGTAGTAGGAATTGAACCCAGGGGTTCTTTACCACTGAGCCCCCTCCCCAGCCCTTTTTACTTTTGATTTTAAAGTAGGGTGTTGCTAAATTGCTGAGGCTGGCCTCTGACTTGTGGTCCTCCTACCTCAGCCTCCTGCATTGCTGGGATTACAGGCATGTGCCACCACACCTGGCTTTTAGATTTATTTCCACAAAGTCATTAGGATTTTACCAGCTATTTCTCCATACATATAGTATGTATTAAATAGCTTCATTATATAACTTTTTGACCATTTTGCTTTATAAATACTTGTCTTTGTCAGTAGTCAAGAATGTTATTATTTCAAGAGCAAATCAATATTGTATGATATTTCAGCCAAAGGATCAATATATAAAGGTCACTTGTTTCCAAGAGTTTTTATGTGGCCTTGTGTATTTTAGCTCTGATGCTTGTTCTCTGACTTTACTTTTATTATGAGTTTCACTATATATTTCTGTGAAATGCAGTGACTATATAGTGTGGTTAAAATAGGAAAAGTTCTTTTCCTTTTTAGAAAATATACAAATTTAAGATATCCTTGGGAAACATTAAATCAGCCTCCTGAATTTTAGAAAATGAAATGGAGACTTTTGATAGTGTTAAAAATGTACATTTTTAAAAGTAAATATGATAATGAGAAATATTTTGGGGAAAAAAATCTTAGCTTCCCAAGTATACTTTTGAAGGAGCAAAGGTACTTGTAACAGGCATGTTTTACAGTCAATACAGTTATAAATTCAGTATCCTTTTTACATAGTAAAAGACTTATTTGAACAAACTTATGTATAAGTGTCTCTTTTTTCTTTTCCAATACATTGTGTTTTTCTGCTGTAGAATGTTTAGTTCTCTTTTCTTGCACTCTGACCTGAATTATAAACTATTTTATTAGAAAACATTTCTGTCCCTCCTCCTTCTGGAGTTCCACCAGCACCACCTCTGCCACCAGTTCTCCCAGTGAGCACTGTGATAGGTGAGATTGCATAACCACTGAGCCATTGAACTTACTTTGTAAAATTCATAATAAACTCCTTTGTAGCTAATAGACAATAGCTTTTATAGTTAATAGATGATAGTTGATAATACAAAGGCTAAAGTATGAAATCTAATTTACACTAATTTCTTCAGGTAAAAAGGCTCTGAACTTACATAGTAAACAAATATATAGTAACCTTTTCCTAATATTAGACATTTCTGCGTGTGGTTTATAACCAATTTAATTTGGTTTTTATTTGTCATTTAGAGATTTTTGTAGAATTGTAACAATGATCGTTAAAAAGAAATTTCTAAAAGTCCACAATAGAATTCCCGCTCCCCAAGAGTGAAGATTGGTTTGGTATATACACCAAAGGATTGGGGTGAAGGTGGTGACAGGAGGAAGAAAATTGAAAGGAAAATGTTTTGATGTGGGATGCTCTGATGATTTTCTGTGGATTACAGTTTGAAAAACTCTGATATAACCTAGTTTATATGATAGCTAAGAATGCCATGAAATGGTCTTCTCAATAAAATGCATTTAATTGTTCCAGGTTGGGGAGGGATTAGATTGAACATAAAAGTAGTTGCACATATATACTCAGTATAAAAACTGTTCAGCATAGAAATATACATTAGTAGTAATCTTGGTAGAAATGGATAATGAGGTATTTCAAATAATGAGACCTAAGTTTCAGTTTAGGTAAAATATAGCTGTGTGGCAACATCTTTTCAAAACATTTGCACATATATAAAAGGAAAAAGGAAGAAAGTAGGCAATAAAAAAAAAGAGCTTGATAAAAGAAATTGTTGACAGGAATTCTGTGTAAAAATATCTTCAATGTAATTATTAATCAGGAAAAATAAAACCACATTGAGACACTATATTATAACCACTGGATAGGTAAAAAATGACTTGTACATTTTTACTTACTAATGTTGGTAAGGATGTGCCATAATTGAAATGTACATTGCCGGTGGGTATTTTAGTTTATATTTAGTAAATATATTTACTTTATAAAATAATTTTTTGTTAAACCTGGTCAAGTTGAACATGTGGCTACCCTAGATTTATCAATTTCATTTCTAGATATTTACACTGGAGCATTATTTCCCAAAATATGGATAAGTGACCCCTGGGAGTTGCCATGATCCTTTCTTAAGAGTTTTTGAGGTTATTACCATATTCATTGTTTGTCTTTTTCATTAACATTCTCTTGGAAGTATACAGTGGATTTTTCCAGGGGCTACATGAAGTATAATAAAGTCATTGCTATATGATAGAATAAAACAAAATAAGTTAGTCATATTAGATAGAATTATTTATTAAATTCGTGATTATGGAATAACACATTTAACAATATTTTAGATTCATTTTCTTGTCCTTTTTTTTTTTTTTTTTTTTCCTCTTTTTGAGTACTAGAGATTGAACCCAGGAGTGCTTTACCACTGAGCCCCCTCCCCAGCCCTTTTTACATTTGATTTTGAAGTAGGGTCTTGCTAAATTGCTTAGGCTGTTCATGTGTTTCAAAGATTTATCAGAAAAATTTCTAATATGGTAATTATCTATACTTGTAACCCATATCAACAAAAGCTTTTTGAGGTTCTCTAGTTTTTTAGGGCAACCCTAAGACCAGAAATTGAAAACCACTATCTTAGAGCAGAGTTATATACCCCAATTATCTATATCCAGAAACTAGTTAGAAATGTAAGTTCTTAGATCTCATTCCATTCCATACTTAGTCAAAAACTCTGAAGGTGGGATCTAGCAATCTGTATAACAAGCTCTTAAAATGAAATTCTGATTTATTGTTGAAGTTTGAGAACAATTGTCCTAGGGAAATTCAGGAATCATATTTAGGAATTTTTATAGAAGTGGTAATAGTAATGGCACAAATTGTATCGACACATACCTTTATTTTATTATGGCAACAAATGTTTAATAACAGAATCAATCAATAAATAATGTATTCACATACAAATAGAGTAACAGAAATGAATGACATACACATTGGTACGCTTACCTACATGGATGAAAAATAGTATTCAGAGGAAAGAGTACTTCAGTAATATGTATAGATTCATTCCATTGCAAAAAAATTTATAAATTTATAAAAACTCTTTTATGTTTATTGCTTAAGATTATATATAAATATATAAAACTACATAGAAAAGAAAAGGAATGTTTAACACATGCCTTGTGGGGGTTGGGAATCCAGGAGAGGGGCACACAGAAAGCTTTAGTGATTTTGTTAATATTCTATTTCTTTAGCTAGGTGTTTATCTTATTTAAAAAAAATTCATCTGTACACGTATGTACTCTTTATATACAATTAATATGTGACATACACTCACACATATATCAGTCATACCCTTTGACATAATGATTATTTCACAGTAAAATATTAAATTCTAAAATAGACAGTTGAAACTGCTAAATAATTGTTTTTCAGTTTTGATTCACCAAGAAAAATAGATTAGATATTTTATATTTTTTTATACAAGTCAAACATAGAAATCATTTTATAGAGATTTATGTAGAAATTACTAAAAGTTTACTTCTTAGCTCACTGGAACCACCTGTCTGTTCAATATTACTCATTCACAAAGGCTTCCTAAATAGATTATTATTTTAAAAATGTGTTTCTATTTAGAAAATGCATATGTGGATGATTCAGATAATTAGTGACCACCTATGGCTTGGGAGTTGCAAAAGTATCAGCTCTTATGAAATAAACAACCTCTGCTGTGTGCTTCTAATACTTTGTAGGATCTATAAAAGAGATTAAATTAGAGTACTGAATGAAGATAAACTAAGATACTTTTTAATTACTCTGTCATGGTTAATTGAGCATTTGGGTAGGGCAAGGAGGATAATATTTTTCCTGAAGTTGACTTTGAAAAGTGTAGTTAAAATTGCAGGTTGCTTTGGGCATATCGCGGAGGGAAAAGCCTCCTAAGTATGGAAAGTCTGTGATAAGTATGTTAATCTTCCGTAAAAAAATCTGATTTGTTTTTTCCTCCCTTGAATACTTACTGCGGATTGAATCCCAAGGGTGCTTTGCCACAGATCCACATCCTTAAAGCCCTTTCTTTAATTTTTAAAAAAATACTTATTTATTAGTTGTAATTGGACACATACCTTTATTTTATTTTATTTTTTATGTGGTGCTGAGGATCAATCCCAGGGCCTCATATTTGCTAGGCGAGCACTCTACTGCTGAGCCACATAAAAAATTAAATTCTTTAATTTTTTTATTTAGAGACAGGGTCTCGCTAAGTTCCTTAGGGTTTCAATAACTTGCTGAGGCTGACCTTGAACTTGTAATCCTTCTGTCTCAGCCTCTGGAGCTGCTGGGATTACAGGTGTATACTACTGTGCCTGGCATACAAATCTGATTTTATATGTGTTTTAAAACTAAAAATTGTACTTTTTACAAAAATGAGAGTATGTATTGGTAATATTACTTGCTAGCACAATAATAATTCAAATGAAAATAGTAGTAAATATAGAAGTTATGCTTAGCAGTTTAAATTTTATCATTTAACTTAGACCTGGCCAGATAGATTCTTATATATTGTTTGCCAAAATTTTGAAAATTTTGGCAATGAAAAGGAAGAAGTTTGTAAATCAGATATGAATATACTGACATCTAAAGATTGATGCTTTCTACCTCATAGTATCTTTTGCTATTAATTTTATGGAGAGACAGTTTGTATATAAAAGTTATATCAAGTTGGCCTTTATTTCCATGGATTCCAGGATCTCCCAAAGATACCAGAATCCTCAATGCCCAAGTTCCTTATATAAGATCACATTGTATTTGCATATAACTTTCACACATTCTTAGTATACTTTAAATCATCTCTAGATTACTTATTAGATCTAATGCAATGTTAGTGCTATGAATATTTGTACTGTATTGTCTAGGGAATAATGACAAGAAAAAATGTTTGTACATGCAGGTTTTTCCTGAATATCTTCCATCTGAGGTTGATTGGATCCAGAGATATGGAACTCATACATACAGAAAGCCAACTGTATTCTAAAATGCACCTTATTTGAAAGGTTTAGAATGTTGCATTTTTTACTTTTGTAGCTTTCTACACAGGAACTGTTTTTACTTGTTCTTAACTTCAGAGGTAGTTATTTGATTTTTATCTTTACTTTTCCCTTTACTTTGTGCTTTGGGCTTTACAAAGAAATAACTATTTCTTATTGAGAATTCCCCCTCTTTGTTCTGACATCTGAGGTGATCATAATGCTCAAGTTTCTTTGTTGGTTGCCTTTGACTAATGCTTTTCAGCAGCCCCGGGCTCAGCTCCTGGTTCCCAGTATGGCACAATGACCAGGCAGATTTCTCGACACAACTCTACTACTTCTTCGACATCTTCTGGTGGATACAGACGGACTCCCTCTGTGACTGCTCAATTTTCTGCTCAGCCTCATGTTAATGGAGGTCCACTTTATTCTCAAAATTCAAGTAAGCTTGTGCTTTGCAGGCATACAGCAACAGTGGAGCTCCTTTTGAAGGAAATTATTTGCAACTTATGCTTTGCCAGTGATAGACAACAATTGAGAAACCATGTTATTTCATGTTTACTTTTGCTTTAGTTAGTCCTTGAATCATACCATTTTAAGAGTAATTACTTATCACTTTCTCCTCCAAAATTCAGACTTAAGTATCGAGTCTGTACTAAAATTGAGTACTTCAGTATTCTGTTTTTATTACTATAGTGTAAATAGAACTGGAGAACAAAAATATCATTGAAATAAATGAATTAATTTTTATTGGCATGCTTGCAGTAGTTCAGAATAGTAAAATTAAAGACACAAACATTGTGAAAAAATGTTTTTTAAAAGAATAAAATTAAATTGCTGGCTATCACTTTTAAGGCCATTAACTTATACTGAAATGAGTTAAAAACATTTGTGATTCCTTCTTAACTACTCCATCTTTGAATAATTCTAACTGTGGGAAGGAAGGGTTTTCTTTTGATTGCCTTTTGTTTGCCTTTGAATTGCACATCTTAATACTAATCACAGACAATATTTAAAGCTGATAAGATTAGGAAATGGTTTTAGGATATGATGATAGAAAGTTTGAATAGCTTAGGGTAGTCATTCAATTCACTTTCCATATTTAGATGCTTAGTTCAAAAAGGAAAAATAGTAAAAATGCAAAGCAAAATCTCAGATGAGCTGGTTGCCCAGTATTTGTTATTGGCTCAAAGTTGTGGTTACCAAGCATAGACTGTAGATTTTGTAGCTACCTTCTAGACCAGCATACTATATTATTTTACTTAAAAAATGTTGAATGCTCCATATTTACATAGAAGCATGGTTTAAGTACTTTTTATTTATAATGCATGTCCTAAATATGTATTTTAAACTGGAGCTAGGGAAAATTTTCTTACTCATTTTTTTTGTTTAAATTTTAGAGATGAAGATTAATTATTTTGTAGCATAAACTCCTAGAAATTGTAAAGAACTTTGGCAGAGATGTTGAAATTCTAAGATAATTTCAAACTTACATAGTCTTTTTCCAGACTAAAGTTTTCATGCAAGCTGCTCCAAAATATTGAACTACCAATCAGAATTTTACCTCACATTTTCCCTCGTTTCCTTTTGTTATTAAAATATATTTAGTGTCTGAATATTTCACAAATTCATAATTCACTTCACTTCTTTCATGAACTTTAATTTTCATGTTCTGCCTTTTTAGGTCCTATCTTTTTTCATTTTCCTTTTTTCCACCTAGACATTTAAGTTACTCTGCAAATAGGTATTTTACCTTATAACATGTTTGTTTAGTTATTTTCGAATAAGACACTTTAATTAGTGATCGTCTTCTTTTGAATATTAGCAAGCAAATTTGACCTGAAATTTTAAATATATCATGTTTTGTCTGATTATCCTTCAATATGAGTTACTGTTGGTGTTTTAGTAGTATGTAAATGTTTTTAGTGTTTTGATGTGCATATTTTTCTTTTTGTCTAAATGTGGTGCTAATGATAAGTATCTTCATAGCATAGCTTTTCTTTTTCCTTTACATACTAACCAGCATGGCTAGACACTGAGGGTTGTTTCTAAAAATCATTCAGGCTTGTGGAAGCTTTTTTATTTATTTTTAAATTTTAAACCTCTAACCTTTTATTTATTTAACAGCCTTTTATATACAGAGTATCAGAATGAAAGAGGACCACTTTCTTAGTGAATTGAATGTTATTTTGGGCTATACAATGAATATTACTGTAAATATATTGCTTTGTTAAGTTGTTGCTTCTTTGAACCCTGAACCTCTTTCAAATTTTTATGCTTACCAACAAAATTTATATATTAGATTAATTGAAACAACCTTTTAATGAAATGATCTTGAGAAACCAATAAATTGTTCTTCTTGTCAATTTATTGTCATTTATTGGTAACCACCAATAAATTGAATTTTGCCATCTAGTCTTATTGAATTTTTCTGAGTCATCTTTGGAAGTTACTTTCTTATTAAAATGAGACAAAATAGTAAAAATTTGAATGTTTTTTCCTAACTTATGTTATTACAGTTTTTCATACATTTGCTGTCCACATGAGCAGTTGGTATCAATTTCCCATAAATTATGTCCTTTCTTTGAAAGAAGTTTGAGTATGTTTCAAGCTAGCCAATGATTTGTGAAAAATTCATTTAATGTAAATAGTTGTACATTTTAACTTACTGGAGATGAGGTTTCCTTCTTCAGAACATTGATAAAAAGGTTACCCTTTTGAAATACCTTGTTTCCTGAAACTCTGAATCAACATGGTATATGGAAGACTAATTCCTTAGTAAATTTAGTAGTGATATCTTTAAAAATAAAATCGCCAACTAAAAAAAAAATAACCTTGTTTTTCAAACAAGCGTTTTTCCTGGAGACCTGTGTGTCTATTTAGATGTATAGTAAAAACTATCTTTAAAGAAAATCTAAATTAATATATTTATATATGCAGTCAACAGCTATTACAGAATACATTTATTTTATTTATTTGACTTCTAATTTACAACCTTATCTTAATGTTAGATAGACCTGTTTATAGAGTTATAGGAAAAGCAATATTCTGGAAACTTTTGTAGGTAATCATTATCTATTTTAGAAGTCTTTCCTTAGACTTTGAAAACTTCATTGCATTAAAGTGAATATAATGGTAAATTAAAAATTTCCCCAAACTCTATAACATTAGAATTGAATTAGGTATGTTTGTTCTTTTGTACATTTAACCAATTGGCTAAGCACAACATGGCTTCTTTAGGTTTATTTTTGGGACATGAACTTGAAGAAGGTTCTGCAGGTTTTTGTTTTGCTTTTGTTTTGTTTTGTTTCATTTGCAAACTGTTCTTTGCATACTTATGTTTGTGGTCCTTGTAACTGACTTCTGCTTTTTGTTTGTTTCCTTTTCTTTCCTTTATCTGTTTTACTTCCCCCATATTGTGTTGTTGCTACCAGTTTCTATTGCTCCACCTCCTCCCCCTATGCCTCAATTGACTCCACAGATACCTCTCACAGGCTTCGTGGCCAGGGTGCAGGAAAACAGTAAGTTTGGAAAAAACTGAGCTATCAAAGAATAGAGGCTGTCTCTTTTATAGCATGCATGGCTGATGAGTCATCATTTTCCTTTTATTGAGAAGCTAATCTTATCTTGAAAATAGGTGCAGATATGATCGAAACTGAAGAGCACGGTCTTCAGTTTCTTCTCTTGTGCATGATTACTGACCCATATAAGTTTCAAAACTGCAATTTACTTAAGTTTTTATATGATCTAAAACACGAGATCTAATCTTTGCCTATTCTTAAGGAAAGAGTAATTACACAAAAATGCAAATTGTACAGAAACTTCTAATAGTTACTGAAATTAGAAAACATTTTGTATTCTAACAGATTTATCACGATATACTGTGAGATTACATCTATTATGAAATTGGGACAAATTATTTTCCTTTTTAATTACTTTTTTTTTTTTTTTTTTTGGGTGCCAGGGATTGAACCAAAGGGCATTTATCAATTGAGCCACATCCCCAGCCCTTTTAAATTATTTTGAGGTAGGGTCTCACTAATTTGCTTAGGGCCACTTTACTAAGTTGCTGAGGCTGGCTTTGAACTTGTGGTCCTCCTACCTCACCCTCTCAGGCTTCTGGGATACAGGTGTGCCACCACACCTGGTCTAATTACAAAAATATTTTACAGAAAGTTTGGCCTAATATCTTTGTACGTAGAATGATTTTAAACATATATATATATATATATATATATATATATATATATATATATTAAAAATGAATCTTCAGGAAAAAGTAAATTATATTCCTGTTATTCATTTAAAGGTGAGTGATAAGGATTATAGAGCCTTTTCATTTGGACTACATGTGGGCTCATGAGGATTATTCCTGAATATGTAAATCTTCCAATTTTTTAGGTCATCACTGAATGAAGATCAGGTTTAATGATTTTTGTTGTTTTTAATATATGGCTCCAATCAGGACACACTAGTTTATATTACTGCCTGATTATTTTTGAATTTGTAGAAGATATATAATCCTAACTACATGAATCACAGTGAATGTTGTATGGCAAAATAAAAAATAACTACTACTATTGAATTACATTATGCCAAAAAGCTGTTGAAAATAAGATGGAAAAGTGATCTACTTCTAATTTACTTCTTTTGGGACTGTCACTATGAAAATATGTTTCAAAATGGTTTAAACAAATGACCAGCCCATCTTTCAGGAGAATATATTGTGGCAAATTCCATTTCAACATTTGCTCACTCTGTTTTATTTTCCTTCCATATTCCCTCCTTTCCACCAGTGAAATATTTGTTTATTCAGTGTTCCATGCTAGGTTATGGGAAGAATACAAATAGTTTAAGACAAAATCCCTTCCTTAAAGAAATATATAATCTACTGGGTTTATTATAAAACATTATAGCCTAAAATGTTAATATTTCTGAGTGTGTGTAAACCGTCTTTATTATTCTGTTGAAAACTCTTAAAAGTTTGACAACTTTTGAAAGTAAGTGAATAGTAAACTGCTGGTCTTTAATGCTACAGCAGTTTAAAAACAGCCTGCAGGAATTTACAAACTAAACCAGTTCATCTTTTTCAGCTGCCATATTTCTAAGAATTAATAGGTGGTAAATAGCCATAGTGAATATCAGTTTTTTGGGTCCAGAGGTCATCTACTCACTCTTTAGTAATTTTTAAAAATAGAAATTTAGCATTAATGTACGTTATATTAAGCATGCATGATCTGCTTAAGAGGCCATTAGTACTACTTTTTTACCAGACGTGAACTTGACTCAGTGAGTTATTCTTGTGTTATAGATTCCCAAATTTCATTTGGTACTTTTTTCTATAAAGGCAAGTTTAAAAATGTAAGAATAAACGTGTATCAGTACTTGATGTTTTACGAAATATAGATTTCCTGTTTTCTTAAATACCTGGTTTCTTTGGGACTCAAAAGTGGATGATAATGAATGTATGTAGCTATAAGTGTTGGTTTAAGACATGAATGAGCTCCTAAGTCAGCATTATGTTTATATCTCTTTATGATTAACATCAGAAAGCCTTTTTGCATGTTTAGTATAAAGAATGGTGCAAATTTAGCATAATGCAGAAAATTAAATCGACCAGATTTCTGCCATAATTTGAAGATAAGTCAATATAGATTTAGAGCAGTTCGACTTTTGAGTAAAAACATTATGTTAGTAAGTTGCGTATAAATTAAGAGAGGTGGCTATTTAGAGAGTTTAGGCAAGCATATGTAATTTGCACATTAAGCCAAATTAAGGATATGAACTATGGCTATTTAATGTCAGAATGGGTTCATACCTATTTTCCTCTTCTCAATATTAGAAAGCTTTATGGAGGAGGAATGGGCAAAGAAAATGGATCTATTCATGTGGTGGAAAAATGAATTGTAGACCCTTTTGATAGCTATTAGAGTAAGTATCACCACCCAGGAGTTATTTTTTTAAAACCCTTTTCTTCCTCTAAGAGGATAAAATAGAAATCACAGTTGAAGTGATAATGCAAGTAGAACTATTATCCGCAAATGTTTCAAATATGGACCTTTTGGTTATACTTTCATCACATTTATTACAAATCAGGTAAACTTTAAAACCTGTATTAGTTTTCATAAAAACATTTTAATTTGTCTTTTGGACTTTTATGGAAATTTGTGGGTCAGAAATTTAAGCATTAGTTGTGTTCCAGGTTTGAATTCCTTAATATTGGAAGCATTTGTTACTTGGTATCATATTGGTCCAGTGAATACAGTTCTAATCTGACACTTTTCACTTCACTGTTAACATTTTTGATCATTTAAAGTGCGCACGCGCACACACACACACACACACCCACCCACCCACCCACTAAGGCCATATAGAATTTGAGGTATGAGTCATTTTTATTGTTTTGTTTGATATTAGTTCCTTTTTTTTTTTTTATTACATCTTCCCACAACACTTTATGTTTAAGTCTTAATTGTGGTTGTATTAGAAAATTGGATCTTTAGGATCTGATCTTTCCCTCATCTCATGCTTATGTTTTATTAGCAGTAATGGAAAATGTCAATTTCCTTTCTACATTAGAAATTGATAATGAATGTAAACATTTTTTAAAAGAATGTCATTATCTACTTGTTGAATTATTTTTAATTTAGTTTTTTTATATTAAAATTTAAATGGTGGAAAACCTAGAAACAGAGCAGATCTGAAACTACCAACTTTTGCGTTTCTCCCCCTTGAAACAAGTAAAATATGCAAATAAATAAAAATATGACTAGTTGAGATTTAACTTCTAGGGCACTGATGTTATTGAAAACCCAAATCAGGGGCACGAATGAGCACAATAAAAAATTATTATTAAGCCACTGTTTTAATGTTATCAGCATTTTACTATAGTCTAAATGATAGAGGTGAATAAACTTAATTTTAGAGCAACATTGGTGTTGATCTAAGCCTTGGAATAAGGAAACTTCTTTACTCCTATAATCTTTATAAAAAGCGACATTGTGATCTAACAACCTCTTGCATTCATTAATTTGCAGTACTTCTTGATACCCTTATAGCTCATTTTAATATTGCAAAATTATTCTTAAGAGTAGCATAAACTTAACATACCAAGCTTTTATTTCTAATCATTGCATGTTACTATAGTGCATGCTATATACGAATGAATAAGCTTTCTTAAATTGTTAATTTATAAATTTCATTTAGACTACTTTCTTCAAATTAATTATCTGAATCTTTTTAGTTGCTGATAGCCCAACTCCACCGCCACCACCTCCACCAGATGACATTCCCATGTTTGATGACTCTCCACCCCCGCCCCCACCGCCTCCAGTGGACTATGAAGATGAAGAAGCTGCAGTAGTTCAGTATAATGATCCATATGCAGATGGGGATCCTGCCTGGGCCCCCAAGAATTATATTGAGAAAGGTATGGTACCATCAATATGGAATTGTTGCACAGGACAATAACCTAATTACAGAATGTTAGAACTTTTTTAATTTTTTTTTTTTGGTACCACCTTGCCCAGTGTTTCTCAATTTGAACCGCATTACTAACCAAGATGGTTTACTTAAACCTTACTGCCTTTACTTTGTGTTATTTCCCAAAATAAAACAAGGGTTCATTCTTCATATTTTAAATTAAAATATGCTTTCAAGGGCCTGGGGTTGTGGCTCAGTGATAGAGCACTTGCCTAGCACGAGTGAGGCACTGGGTTCGATCCTTAGCACCACATTAAAAAAAATAAATAAAAAGTTACAAAAACATGCTTTCATCTGCAAATGAACTAGCCTATAGATAAAACAAATAAGGCACAAAAATGAGCTAATTGACTAACTAAAATCATATATAATTGGTAAAGATTTTAAAAGTTTTGCAAGCTCTTAATTAAAATAGAAGTATTTCACATCTGAATATTTAAAAATTTATTGGCACTATCATGAGGAAAAGCCTAACTTAAGATTCTTTTAGGTGATTTCGTGTAGAAGATAAATCACTAGGATTGTTTTCATGAACTTCTAAAGTCCAGATTAACTTGCTGTGCCTGCCTCATTGTAATTATCTATTAAAGAAATGTGGATGGGAAAGAAAAAAGTCAGGTTTCTAGAGTTTGTTTTTTCAGAGTTTTAAAAATGCTTATAATTTAGTTGATCAATTTTGGTTGCCTTTGAAATATATTGCCTTCCATTTACTTTATTAACTGATTTAAAGCAAATAACTTTAGGTAGCTCTGAGACCAGTGACATTCTTGCTTTCTAGTGTTTAAAACCTATGGCAAAAGCAAAATCTGTTTTCCTTTCTTATATATTTAAACAATAAATAGTTTATATGTTATTAAGGAAGTCTTGAATGTTCTTCATATTTGGAGGTCCATACCTTCAAATAGAGATAGGTTTTTAAATTTTAGGTTTGGATGGTGTTTTTAGTCATATTTTCTTACTTTGGTAAGTAAATTTAACTTTATGTACATGGGACTGTTATATTTACATAAATTGACAAATTTGGGATAATATATTGATTAATATATTTGATAGTAGAGCAGGATTAAAGAATTTCTTCACACATTGAAATAATGAGTCTTAAGCCAGGGGTTACTTTTTTTGTTCTTAAAGCAAGGCCAAATAGTAAATATTTTAATATGCTATACTTAAAAGTCAACCTTGTGGCAGCACAAAAGCAGGCATAGACAATATGTGAGTCGATCTGGCTTTGTTGTGATAAAACTTTATTTACGGAAGGGGCAGGGGCAGTAGCTTGAATTTGTCCATGGGCAAATATTTGTGGACCCCTGGTCTAAATCAGAAATTGAGATTTAGTAGGGTTATACTTAAACCCATCATGTTACCTTTGTTAATTACAAAAATGAAGGAAACCTGAAATTTTCAAAAACAGTTAATTTCATAACTTTCCCAAAAACCCTATTCTTATTAACTTCATCCTAAAATTTACCAGTGTACATGTATATATTGTGTATGTTAGACTAATAGACCTTTGAGTTCCAAAGAACCCTATAGTACATATGGAGGGAAGAATTTGGCCTTTAATATGGATTAGATTCTAGAGCAGAATGGACATCAAATTGTTTTTTTGTTTTTTTTGGCACCAGGGATTGTAGGGGCATTTAACCACTGAGCCACATCTCCAGCCCTTTTTTTTAAAAAATATATATTTTATTTAGAGACAGGGTCCTACAGAGTTGCTAGGTTGCTGAGGCTGGCTTTGAACTTAAAATCCTTCTGCCTCAGCCTCCTGGGCCACTGTACCTGGCTAACCAAATTGTTAATGGTTAAATATTTTAGCAGAAAAAAATTATATGAGGGAGTATGCACTGGGGAGGAGGGCTGGGTGGCGCTAGGTTTTATTTAAAAACGGCTCAACCTAGGAAACAGAAATATAAATTAATTTGGTTTATCATCTTTTTGCCTCAGTGGAACTAAGAACACAGTAAAATTTTTGTTCAGGCCTTTGTCATTATCAGGGTAAACATCATCTATACTACTGAGAATCTAAGCCACTTTGGATCTAGATCTAAAGAAAGGAATATTATTAATTTCAAACAATAAATAATTGTATTAATTATTAAATTGATTTTTATTCTGTTTTCTTATGGTTTATCTCTAGCAATTACTTGGTCCTGTTAGGTTGTTATGTAGCCAAAAATAATTCTAAGATAAATAATACTATTTATTTTGTATATTTTTGAAACTTGTATGCCATTAAACTCAAAATCACAATGCTGTGATTCTGTTACAGAATTAAAACGAGGGAAATGAACTTATTGAGTCTACTTAATACAGTGTTTTGCAAAGTTAAAAGTGCCTGTTTTAACACAGCAAATGATGGCTATGGAACAGTACTTCAGATCTCTTCTATAAAAGTCAGTAATTCAGAATAATTATAGGGAGATGCAGTCTTTCTTAGGGGAAAATGAATTCCAGAGTATATTAAGTATCTGTATTAAAATGCTTACTTTAAGAAAAAAAATGACAGCAAATAAAAATGAGGTAAGTCAATGAAAAAAATACATATTAGATATTATTCATGTTTGAAGATTATGTATAATTTTAGAATTATGTAATAAAGGTGGACTGAAGGTAATATTTAAATTCATAAACCAGTAGTATGGAAAAGTAATATTTTTGTTTGCTATTCATTTGTATAACACTGTTTGCAAAAATAAATTTTTTTTAAACTTGAATAGTTGGGAGTGGACGAGAATATTTTAAACTGAATTCCGGATACCACAAAATTGTTAGATTTTTTAAAAAAAAGTTTTACTTTATTTATTTATTTTTTAAAAAACTACATTTGCCACTTTAATAGTCCTTCTGGTGCATGCCTGTAATCCCAGTGGCTCTGGAGGCTGAGGCCAGTAATCACAAGTTCAAAGCCAGCCTCAGCAACTTAGTGAGACCCTGTCTCAAAATAAAATATTTTTTAAAAGGGCTGGGGATGTGACTCACTGGTTAAGCACACCTGGGTTCAATCCCTGGTACCAAGAAAAAAAGAAAAAAAAATAGTCCTTCTTACCTTTAAGGTAAGTGTAGGTATAATGCATTATTAGAATGCGCCAATTAATGAAAAAGTATAGGTATAGTCCCGTAACTTACTGTGGATCCTAGGATGAGATTTAACCTCTCAATAACAATAAATGACAATAATAATGTAGTATTTTTAAATTTAGAAAACTTGGTTTGTTACCTCGTTTACTGAGTGGCTTTGCAGCTTTATCCAGGAATTATTTTGAAAATGGTTCTTTGCATGTGGTGTAGGCACTTGATAGATACTTTGAATGGATGAATTAAAATACTGAATCCTAAAATTCAGAGATTTTCTTTTTTTTTTTTTTTTTTTTTCTCTAGCACTGGGCCTGAACGCAGAGGTGCTTTACCACTTGATTTCCATTCCATTCCATTCATTCATTTCTATTTTATTTATATATTTATATTTATTCATTCATTCATACATACATACCAGGGATTGAACTCTGGGGCACTCGACCACTGAACCACATTCCAAGCCCTATTTTATTTATTTATTTTTTTTTAATTTAGTTTTTAGAGACAGGGTCTCATTGAGTTGCTTAGCGCTTTGTTTTTGCTGAGCCTGGCTTTGAACTTGTGATCTTCCTGCCTCAGCCTCCTGAGTGGCTATGATTACAGGCGTGCACCATGGACCCAGCTTTTTTTTAGTTTTTGAGACAGTCTTACCAAGTTGCTGAGGCTGACCTCGAACTTTTTTGATCCTTCTGCTCAGCCTCCTGAGTAAGACATGGTAGAACCTGTTATCTTCTTTAATCTAATCAGATTGTCAGTTTGGCTTCAAGATGAAGTAATTGATATAGGCACTTGGGTAACTAACCATTGATCTATCTGTACTGATAACATATCACAACTTAAAGTCTTCATAAAAATAGTTTGATGCCAATTAAGTCTATAATGTAGCAAACAAAATTCAAGCTAAATGTTGGGTGCAGTATACTTATGTGGTATTGCATCTGTTTTCTCCATAGTTGTTGCAATATATGATTATACAAAAGACAAGGATGATGAGCTGTCATTTATGGAGGGTGCAATCATTTATGTTATAAAGAAGAATGATGATGGCTGGTATGAAGGAGTCTGCAATCGAGTGACTGGTCTCTTCCCTGGGAACTATGTTGAATCAATCATGCACTATGCTGATTAATTATTTCTTTTTTCCTTTTTTTTTTTCTTTTAAAGTAGGTTCTTATTATTCAGTCATACTGTGGGACTCTTATGGTTAACAGAATTGTCTTAATATGTTTTAAAATGTGCCCATATTTTCAGGACATGCTGTTTTATTGGTATATTTGAATGTCTACCTGTAAGCATAAATCTTTGAGGCAGTTTTTGTATTGCTAAACAGCAGTTTATACAAGAGGCTGTCTATAATTGATTATGCTTATGTACTTACTTACATATTGTTAATTTTATGACCAGCATAAATATTCTGGGGAATCGGGGTATATTTAACAAATCATGATTCAGATTGTATCATTACATGTTTCAGTGCAGCATGGTTACTAATAATAATATGTCAAACTAATATTAAAATCAGAAAACTTAAATGCTGGTGCTGGTCATACTTTTTGTTTAGATTCTCATTTTTAAAAAGTTTAAAGCATGCATAAAATTTATGTATTGAAATGTACTTAAAAATTCCAGGATGCTTCCAATTTGTGTAATACTTACCTAGTACACTTATTCTAGGTGGGTCTCTAAGGTCTATATGTGAAACAAAACAAAAGGGGTTATCTGTAATGTTGTAATTTGTACCTAAGTTTTTTAATGAGTGAATTTGCATTATAAATTTTTTCCATTCATAAATACATAAGTGAACCAAAGGTTTTTGTCCTTTCCTTCACTGGTTTGCTTTAAAAAAAATACAAAACCAATTTATTGCAGAATTATGGTTCTATTTTCTCAACATATTAACTTGGAAAAAAAATTTTTAGCCTTATCTCAGTCTGTCCCAATGGTAATGTGACGGATGTTTGCAGATTTAAAATCTGAGATGATTATTTACAAGTCAATCTACTGAATTACTTTTTTAAAAGTAACTTTTGAATCTAAGAAAATGTGTCAAAGTGTGCACATCCTTCTATAGGTAAAAGTCTTAAAGATTGCCACATTAGTCCTTCAGTTTTACAGTGGACTATTCTAGTACACTGGTTCAATGAAAGGAAATTATAAGTATCTTTTACATATTGTAAAAGTGTATGCGATTAATTTGTGAATAGGCACTATTTAATCCATTACCTAGCACTAGAAGCATAAGATTTTAAAATAATTGGGAAAGAAGATGGGTCATGTATTAATCAGTGAACAGAGATATACTTAACCAACAGATTTGTATTGAAATGCAACACATGCACTTTGTGTGTCTCCTCTTAATTTAAAGGAAGGTTTCTTATCTTGTGTATAATTCTGTATTGCTTAGAATATTAAAGTAGAGCACTCAGTGTGGGTTTCTGTGTATTGAGGATTTATTTGAATTTCAAATTACAGTTATGTACTGGGCGTTACAGACTTAACAGCATAGTGAATGGTGAGACTAGTGCAAAACATTTTATTTCTGAAAATTAAAGACCATTATTACTACCAATTCAATGTGACTCTTTCATATGCATTTTGCCTTTGTTAATTTCAAACAAAGTATCATCAGTGACCAACTAGCTACCTTCTACTTTTCTTTTTTCAAGTGGAATGTTCTCTTAATTTGTATAATACCTGTTGTTTAAATTTTATGTACAGTCTTTTATAATAAACCATTCTCCTATATGAAATTTTGGATACTGTTAAAATATAAATAATGTGGATTTCAGAGCTGACTTCACAATTTTCTGACCTCTACTCCTATGGTGAAACAAGACAAACCGTTTGAATTTTAACATTGATTATTTATTTGTGTAATGGCTTCACATGTGGATAATAACAGTGTAAACAATACCACAAATAACCATCAAGATACCTCAGTTAGAATTTAAAGGACTCTATGACAGATTCAGGCAGTTAAATTAATTACATTTAAAAAGATTTCTGAAAAACTTTGCCAATTAAAAAAAATACCCATCAATAAGATCAGAATTATTTTTTAAAATGATTTTTGGATATTTGCATATGAAGCAAACAAAGTATATTCCACAAAATTCTTTAGGCACAGTCTGGTAAAATAGCTGCCAGGTAGAACAGAAAGAGTTGTCATTTATCTCTTGTAAGTACAATTTCTGAAAGTTGAATGAGGGCATCTCTTTCTGGGGATGGTCGAAGTTTACTGATCTCTCTTACTGCTTCATGGCAGTACCGCTGGGCGAGGTAGGTTGTTTGTTGCACACCATCACTCTACAGATATGGAACAAAACAGAAAAGGAGAACAGATGTCACTGACTGGATCAGGTCTTAGGTTTCTACTATGATAAATTAAAACATACTTTTGAGGTCAGATGAACCAAGGATCAGTCATAGTTAATAGCCAAATTACATTTCTCATTTTTTCTCTCTCCAACTCATAATTCTAGGTTGCTCTGCTTACTTCTTTTAGATTTTTTTCTCAGATTGGAGCACATTTTTAGTCTATTAGCAAAGTGACTGGCTCATTAATATTAAGTAGCCATTTATTTCTTCCTATTTTTTACTTAATTATTAGAGGTTTTTTAAGTGTCTTACCTATATAAGATACCTACACACAGAATTTTAAATGAAAAAAAGTTTAAGGAGAGATGGGCAGGTGGCACAAGCCTGTAATCCCAGCAGCTTTAGGAGGCTGAGGCAGGAGGATTGCAACTTTAAAGCCAGCCTTAGCAATTTAGCAAACCTTGCCAACTCAGTGAGACCCTGTCTCTAAAGAAAATATAAAAAATGGCTGGGGATGTGGCTCAGTGGTTAAATCCCCAGTAAGAAAGAAATAATTTTTTTAAAAAATGAGAACGGGGGCAATGTCGAGAGAGATGCCTTTGGGATGAAGCAAGGAATATATATTCAAGTGAGAATTCAGGCACCCTCCAGAGTGAGACATCAATCTGTCAATATTCTCATTTCTTGATTACCAATTTTTGTTGCCTTTCTGTTAACAAAGACAGGCATTTGGCCCACACATACAGTGTCTCCTAATTTGGTCATTATATTGCTGTTTACTTCTGTTGGTCACCTTTGAGGATACCAGTGTTCCTGTCTTCTCTAACTATATTACTGCACTTCAGACAGAGGTTTACTCTTTTTACTGTTGGTGCTTTCTAAAAGCTGGACACAATTAAAATACTATTTCTATGATGCAAAAATATTTACTGTGAAATTAAGTCATGACTAATTTTATTTCCGTCTTCTTAATAATCCCTTTTCCACTTAAGTATTCCTAACATCATGATTGAAAGGCCTGGTTTTTTCTACCAGTTGCTCAAAATATGACACATTTCAGTTTGCTGTGCCTTTCTGTATAGAAGCCTTGCCAGATGCAAATGACCTACCCAGAAAAGTGTGAATGGGAAGTCAACTTTTGCGTCCTTACATGTGATGACTTTAGTTTGCCTTAAGATTTAACAGATGAATTAATTGAGTCTAGGGAGGTGTGAAATGTTTCTTCATCACTTGAAAGGCCTTGTTCCATTGGCTTACATCATCCACTATTTTTTTCTGTTGACTAAGCCAGTTTTGATATCTGTTCCTTTTGTAGTACCCTTCTTTGTTATTTGATTCTCTTCCTGAAATGTTTGCTAGATAATCATACTAATTTTCTTTTCCTGTAACTGTTAGATTTTTGGAAGATTTCCTTAGTATTATACTGCAACCCTTCTTTTGGAGTTTTCCAAAATCATTTTAAATTTCTTAGAGCTTGTTCTAACTCATTTTTAAAATATCTTTTGCTTTTTTTGTTTTATAAATGAGGTACTTTTTGGGTCATCCTATTTATATTTTTCCTGAGTCTTTATTTCTATTCATCTTGGTCTTTCTGGCTTAGCAAAATTTAATCAACTCCTCAGTAATTCTGAGTTGTCTATTCATATTTAATGAAGGAGTGGGTCTAGAAGCTCTCTGAGCGTACAGGGAATTATAATTGAGGCCTTTGGGCAATTTGCTTAGAGAACATTCCTGTGGAGTTTTGTCTAAGTGCATTTCTGGCTAGGAATGTTTCACCAAGAAAAAGCAGGCAGGCTTCTGTATAAAAAGGCACAGCAAGTAGGGCATGGTGGTATACGCATGTAACCCCAGCAGCTTGGGAGGTTGAGGCAGGAGGATTGTGAGTTCAAAGCCAGCCTCAGCAAAAGTAAGGTGCTAAGCAAGTCAGTGAGACCCAGTCTCTGTGGTATAAAAACTATACACATATCATTTACATTATAGAAGTAGGTACTATAAATCATCTAGAGATGACTTAAGTAAGTATATAAAAGAATGTATACGTTATATGTGAAAGCTGCCTTTTTTTTTTTTTTTTTAAATAAGGGGCTTTTGCATATCTGAGATTGGGGCAGGGTGTCTTATATCCAGTGTCCCAGGGAGATAGAGGGGTGACTATAATTATTTCTGAAGCCAGAACCACTCTCAGGTTTCTTTATCAGCTATAGCTCCCTCTTATACTGAGTTTTTATATAACTGCCAAACCACCCTCTTCGCAAATTGTAGAATATAACATTATTATGCATTAGTTAAAGAGAAATATATCCTTTTTGGAAGGGTTTTCTGCTTTTGGACATTTAAAAATCTGAGAGGTAGTAATTTGAACTTCAGACCACTTTTTTTTTTAGTAATTGTTTGCTTACTCTACCTCTTTTACTAGGTCTGTGGCCTCCAAATGATTGAATTTGCAAAGCTCATTCTCAAAAGACAGTCATCCAAATTGAAAATATGCAAAAAGATCTGGTTTCTACAGAATAATGCCGAAGCTATATGGCAGTATATTTGAAACAAGCCTCTAGCCCCTGAACACAGTTAAATGTTTCTTACTTTAAAAGAAAACATAAGTCTAAAATTTGCCTGTGTTGATTAAAATTTTTTATTTTTAAAATTAAAAAAAAATTTTTTTTTTTTTAGTTGTTGATAGTCCTTTATTTATTTTATGTGGTGCTGAGAATCGAACCCAGTGCCTCACACATGCTAGGCAAGTGCGCTACCGCTGAGCCACAGCCCCAGCCCAATTAAAATTTTTTTAAATGACTATTTCTTTAGTCACCTCTCCCCAACAACTATATAGCATGGACCATTTGTGAGTAGACTACTGTAGTCTAGCTGTAGAAGGATGAGGGTTTGGACTAGGTTGGAGGCTAGTCTGGATACCTTGGAGCACAGCAGTGTGACAGGTGTGGGGAAGAGTGGTTTTCAACCAAAAGGGTTCAAACATGATTGCGCAGTAGAATTACTTAGGTAACTTGTAAAAACTTAATGTGCACGCTGAACCTGTGACCAATTACAATATTTGAGCAGTATTATAGGAGAAAGATGAAAATAACGAACAACAAGTGTTTCCTTCCCAGTTTCTATTAAATCAAAACTTAAACTTGGTCTTGTATCTGAAATGTAACTTTTCATTAGTGTTACATGATTTGTTCGGTGCAGAGCTGTGCCACATTGTATTTGATGCTGCCTTTTTCCTTGTAAAAATAATCTTACCTGTAATACGTACTGTCGAGCTCTGTCCACATCTCCTGGCAAACTGAACCGTCTCATTATCATTGCATTCATTTCTGGGAACTAAGCATAAAGAAAGAAAATGTATTTGTTGTTCTTGAACAATCAAGTGTTCTAATACTCGTTTGTAACAACAGGAAATAATAAAAAACAAAGGTGATCAAATTCTGTGATGTAGGGGAGCAGTAAGTTGTAGCATTAAAGAAGCTGAACAAGGGGGGGACATGTCCATGCCCAGGAGCTACGTTGGTACACAGGAGAGGAATAGCCATTGGTCCTTAGTCTACTGTTGAGTGAGAGGCAGAAGCAACAAAGTACATCTCTAAAAATCTCATTGACTTCTCTGATGATTCTGAAACTTCAGACTGCAGCAGAATCACCTGTACTGCCTGTTGTGGCCCCCAGTTTCCAATTCAGTAGCATAGAGCCTGAACATGCATTTCAGACAAATTTCCAGATGATGCTAACTAATGCTGCTGGTTCATGCTGACATTTTGAGAAGCAATGGCCTAGAATGAGAGTAGGAATTAGGCATTCTAGTACTCAACTAAGTGGAAATGAAAGCTGCTGAGGTTTCTGAGCAGAGGGTATCGAGCTCTGCCCTAAGCAGTGTGTGGAGTGGCTCTGAGCAGTGGTGCTCAGTGCTGATTGCATATTGGAATCTTTGGGGGAAGTTAAAATACCATTGCCTGAATCCCACTCCCGAAGATTTTCATTCAGTCTATTGGCTTAGGGTTTAGCTTAGGCCTAGGCATGTTTAATGTGCAGCCCAGGTTGAGAACCTTAATAATTAGATCTTAATCAGGTAACTGTAGTGAACTATGAAAAAGGTCAGAATAAAGCTGATGGTAATTAGAGGAAAAAAGCAGGGAGGCACAAAAGATTCTGAAGATATAAACTGTATTCTATAGTACTTAGCAGTTATTTTGGAGAATTGCCTCCAGGAATAATAAGGAAACCAGGAGAACAAATCACTTCACTTCCTAAACACCAGTCCTGGTCTGCCACCAGGTGCCACAGCTGAATGAGTTCTTTAATCTCCTATCTTGGCTTGCTCATCTGTCTTGTGATCTGAAATCCTTGATTCTAACAGTCTGTCGTTCCATGGAATAAGAGGTAAGGTATGTTTGGTCTTAGACACATCAGTGCTTACAGCAGTTGCCAGTTT